TAAAACATGAGAATAACAACAACACCAAGAATATGCAAAACTAAAACAACATATATTAAATCATTGAATGGATCACCGACACAAAAAGAAAGAATAATATTGAAATGTAAGAAAATATAGTGTGACACAAGATAAAAACTTGATTTCACAAATTCCTGGATGTGAATTCTTCCTCCACTACAGCTGCTGAGCTGAAGTCTTTCTGGCCCGTGGTTAAATGACTTCCTGCGTCTAATTATTTCTCAACAATTGACCTTTTATCCTTCGTATGTTAACAGTTCAGCGTATTACACTGGGCCAGTGAGACAGCTGGAGGGAAGAGAGCTCATCTCGCATAGAGTCCAGACAAAAGCTTCTTTGGTGGGTGCGGTAAATGGCCCAAAATGTTCCATAAGCTTAAGAGGAGTCCATTACCCCACATGATTATCCAGACTGCTGAATGTTGAAGAGCGGGCGGGGAGAAGGCGAGAGCTGTATTTCTGACCGCAGGAGCATCTACAGCTGAAAATGATGTGGGGAGCTTCATGCTTGCATGTGTGCTCTCCCCCATTCTAATTAGCCTGGGAGCCAGCTGGAGAGGCAGCAGAACTGCAGTGCAACTCGCTGCTTGCCGTCTTTTCATCTCCAGCCCTTCTCTCTCTCTCTCTCTCTCTGCCTGTCTGTCTGCCTGTCTATCTGCCTGCCTGCCTGTCTGCCTGCCTGTCTGCTTGCCCGCCTGCCTGTGTCCGCCACAAATAGCCAAATGCAAAAAGACAGACTGTCAGAGCATTTACACTCAGTCGAACAAGCCCTGCTTTTTTTCCCTGGTCTATTTTTAAAACCTGACCTTAAGCTATTTTTAGTTTCCTGCATATGTAAGCGTTTGTGTCCCTCTTTGTGTGTGTGAGCAGCGTGGGGGTGTCAGTGTTCATGTGTGAACCACATATTGTTTTTGTCGATACTTTCAACTCAGTCAAAATAGCACACAGGTGGAAGGTCTGGGATTCTTTATAAAGGAGAAAAACATGTGAGTTGAGATTGATGTCGCTGAGTCTTTGCTCTTGTTCACCATATTTCCACCAATGACAGCTCTGCATGTCCTCACACACTGACAGTCACTTTGAACACTGCTAGTAAATATAAATGAGGCACATGGGAGAAAACACACTTCAGAGATTGTTTTTCAAAGCTTCTTCTCTTTTACTGGTGGTTTTTTTTTTGTGACATTCATCAAATTATACCATTTTGCCTAAAATTCACTTGGGGGACATAGACAAAGAAATATTTTTGTTCAGAAACATTTGAGAAGATTGGAACAATAACAATATCCCAAAATATTATACCTGCTGGTAAAAAAACTATTTTTTTGAGATTCAGGTCTAAAGCAAAAATCTTGAGAGCATAAATTATTTCGTCTCAAAGCGCAGCCCCAAACTGGACTCTTATTTTTATAGAATAAATGCTATATTGTTTTTACTATATTGAGCAGTCTGGGTGTTTTTGTAAGGTTGTTTTTATTAATCACCAAACCTTGTGTAGCTTAAGGGAATTTGTGGAAAACTGTTTGATGCTTTGAGAATTGTGTATAAAAAGCTTAATATTTAGCCTGCCAGTGGCATATCTAGGATTTTCAGGGGCCATGAAGGGGCCAGGATTGACATAGAGGGACCCCACACATATGTTTCAAATCCATGCACAATTCCTGATTCAGTTATGTGCGCAATTAAGTCATTCCTTGTTTACTGTTAGCTCTACAGCTTTGAGAAAAGCAACATGACATTGACTATATTTTTAAAATGATTCCTTGTTCATTGTGTACT